CTTCCTCCGTTTTATAATGTAAGTTGTTTTAGAGGTTTTTATTTGTTTCAAAATGTAAGTTGTTTTGATAATCTTATGTACTTTTTAATTTTATTGAATATTGTGTGACCACTAATATTTTGCCGTCTTTTGTGTGATTGGTCAAATTATTTATATTAAATAATACTTTTTTTGCAGAAAAATTCTTAATATTCGTGTTTTAAGGTAAAACAACTTATATTTTGAAATAGATGGAGTAATAATTAAATGGTTATGAATCAACATCAAATGTTTATATTGTGTTTGAAACTGTAATCTAATCTGAACCTGTTACATTATCATCCAAAAATAACCAAATCGATGTTATAAAAGTTTGAAATTTATGAAAGCTATTGATTTCAAAATATATGACATTTATTTGGTTGCGTTTGGGTAATGCGAAAAATATGTATAGTTAAATGGACAAGACAAGAAAGAGAAAACCAAAGATGCATCACTTTGGTGGCATAATAAAGTAGGAGGAGGTGATAAGAGCAAGTACATCTTTACTTTAGGGACGAGAAGAAAGACAAATGGACAAGACAAGAAAGACAAATTGGTCTTCTTTACTTTAGGGACGAGAAGGTGGTGTCCGCAGAATGGAATGATCCCAAAATTCTAAACCCCCACTAATTTGTTACAATACAATGATACAATATTCTTAGAGTGTTAATATAAAATCTTAAGTTAGTGGACTGAAAAAGAAGTGAGTTTCTAAAAATACTCAATATAATTTAAAAAAGAAAATTATGACATTGTTTAGTTGATATAATTATACAGTTCATCAACTAAACAAAAAGATTCATGCGACCACCGCCAGTAATAATCAGGTATTCAGGCTATGGAATCAGGTTGTGATTTGAAAAAAGAAGTTAGAAAACACTATTTGCTTTTTGCGTTTTGATTTTCTATATATATAGACGTGGACATACCAAACCTCTATTCTATTACTTCCTCTCTTCACCAAACTTTTCTCTCAACATGATTTCACTCTACACCGTTTTGGTTCTGACCTCCTTAGCTCCAATTCCCGGCGTGAGTTGGCCAACACCACAACCATTTCCTGTGGACCAAATGGATTCTCACTTGGAGGGCTCCCCAACTTCACCGAGCAAGAGTAATCGAGCTCTTCCACTTCCGGCGAATCAGATCAACACGGCTCCTCTATCTCCGGCAAGGGTTGGACCGTCCACCATTGTCACACCCCCATCTCCGGCCATGGTTGGACCGTCTACCATTGACACACATTCATCACCGTCTCGTCCAACCCGTCTACGACAGAGCACACCTCCATCGTCGCCAAGGGTTGGACCGTATACTAGTGTCACGTCTCCGTCGACGGTTGGACCGTCTACCTTTGTCACACCTGCATCTCCGGCGACGGTCGGACCATCCGTGACTATCACACCTCCGTCTCCGGAAACAGTTGGACCGTTAATTATTGTCACACCTCCGTCTCCACTGACGGTTGGGCCGTCCTCTATTATCACACCTCTACCTCCGGCGAGGGTTGAGCCGTCCACCATTGTCACAGCTCCATCTCCGGCGTCGGTTGGACCTTCCACCACCATCGTCACACCTCCATCTCCGACGACGGTTGGACCATCCACCACTATCGTCACACCTCCATTTACAATGAGAACAATTTCTTCATCAACGGCTCCCTCAATCCAGACACGACAGAACAGCCAACCGATTTTACCAAGTCAGAACCATCAAGAGTTCCAGTCGTCAGAAGAACACCCAGCTCCTCCTCCTATAAGAATTCCCTGGTACCACCATAACGCGTTTTTCGNCATTGAAGGTAATGGACAACAGGGCGTGCCACCAAATGAATTCCACAGAATGGACCGTCTAAGCATTTGCGTGCTAAATTATTTCTTGGCCAGTGGATTGAGCCACACAGCCTCATGGTGTCAACGCCCAAGACTCAGTACGAGCATCCATATCCAATGCTTCCTCAATCAGGTTGCTTTCTCTCTGTTACTCTTGGCTCACGCCGTCTTTCCCCGAACACACCCAATCTTGGCGTTTATTATGGATCGTCTCTCCTTCTTATTAATCGTGATCACAGCTTACTTAGCTTCCATGCCCATGTTTCCTCCATATATAGCTATCGTTATGTTTCTTGTTGTTGCTTTAGTCTACATGTTTGCTCGTTTCAGGCGTTAAAAACTTGGGTTGTTACCCAGAGAGTGGAGACCCTGTTAGTTTTGTAAGGCATAAGTAAAATAAGTTAAGAAGTCGTGTTGTTAAACTACTTCTGTCTCTACCTAATGAGCTAGGGTTTCGAAACGAAGAATAATGTGAACAGTAACTTAAACACGTCACGTTATGACATCACGTTATGACATCATGTGGAGTATATATGTTGGGCTACTTTCAGTTTTTTTTTTCTTTCCCTTGATACTTTAATAGGGCTTCTTTCCGTCAGTTTTTAGTATTCTTTAAGAAAAAGAAAAACTCACCCTACCATGTTATTAACAAAAATGTAATTAATGTAAACTTTAAAGTCTTATTAAAAGTACAATATTTAAAGTCAAAACATATTTCTAAAAGATTGCCATAAAACATCGACCCTCACTTTTTAGAAGTGTACGTACAAACAGAGCAACAGGCGATGAAGACTGTATCTTGGGTTTGATCTAATGAATATCATGGATTTTGGGCAAGAAATCAATGGATCCTATAGATACTTTAGGTTTATAGCCTGGGTTGGTAATTGGTATCCAAGGAATGTTGCTCAGAAGGCCTTGGTGAGCTGAGTGAAGAAAAGATTTGAACTTTTAGATTTCTCAATCGATGCAGTTCAAGTCATGTTTTAATAGTACAAAAACACAAAAAGAAGACAATCGATCTTGTGACACTTGTCATCTTAAAGCATCGGTGTGAATATGCTAAACGTCTTGATTTGACTGTCCGTACTGCCAGTCAGTCATGACAGATTCCTCGTACTTTCCTCTGCTAGTAAGATCACCATCATCATAAAATCAATTCTCATATAAATCATTATTTACCGTCGACCTTTAAAGTTCCTAATAATTGTAAGATCGAAACATCTCCTGTCTTACAATTATTATTTACCGTCGACCATGACCTTTAAAATTCATTCAAAAGTTTCAATAACCAAAAGTCAAAAAGAGGAAAGAGTAAGATAGGAACATCTCCTAAACTACATAAAAGCATGAACAATGGTGGGTGGTAGTGTTGGGGTGCTAAGTATTTTTTGTTATATAATAAATGTTAAAAATTAGCAACCCACTTTTTTAGATTCTAAAAAGTTAAAATTAGCAACCCATTTTTGAGGTTCTAAGACTATTAAATTGTTTTTAATCCATTAGCAACCCATTAAAAATTCACTAACATCCACCATTGATCATGCTCTTAGAGCATATGTCAGATGAAAGAAAAATACTCTCTCCGTCCCCCCCCTGTGTATAAAAGATGTTTTAGAATTTTTCTTCTCCTCCATTTCATTTGATTTATCCAATTTCTATG